AAGTAAAAAAAAAAAAAAAAAAAAAAAGTTATACATATGTGCACATCTAGTTTCCCGTTAACATCTGCGTGATTTGAAACACGTTGCCTGCAAATGCACGACAGACGCAAATTGCATCATCTGCTACGGGGCCTGTTCACACCTATGCAGCGCAAATTGGAAAACTGCTGGGCGCCTCTTTTGGTGTGTTTTTAGCCCCATAGACTTCAATGGGAGTGTATGAAATGCACATGTGACATGCATGTCTGTGCATGTTAGCGCATCACAAGCCTCCCCACCCCCTAGCAACCTGTATTTTATTTCACCTTCATTGGCCTAAATAAAAAGCATAAAAATGCAGACGCACAAGTGTAAACGGAGACCAACTGTAGCAAACAAAGTTGTTGGCATTGCCCAGGGCAACTAAATTTCTTTGGCCTTATGCAATAAATTCCTACACTATGAACGAGGCCCATAGTCCATAGCAACCAGAATCCAGTTATATAAACAAAGTGAAACCAATTGATTTTTTGTTGCCATGGAGAACTTCATTTTATTTGCTATGTTTTTATAGAAAACAGAGCAACTCTCACAATCTACAGAATCACATAAATCATAGTACCATCATTAGCATCAGTCATGTTGTCCAGGCCTGAAGTCAGCAGATTGAATGCTTATTGGTTGCTATGGGTTACTGTACTAATTATTGAATAACCGTGACTGTCTTGAATAGAAGCTTTAGGTTCACTCCAGTTGTCATAAATAACACCAAAAGTAGGCTAGTTGCCCATAGCAACCAGACTGCTTACCCATTTTCAGTGCATATAAACCTTATAGCCTACACAAATCACTGGGTTAAAACAAAGGGAAATAAATTAGAGCAACCAAGTACCTTACGTAATCTAACTAGACTAGTTTATAAGAGGAACAGAGGCCATTGTCCATAGCAACCAGAACCCAGCAGCATAATAGAAAGTGAAACCACTTCATTCATTGTTGCTATGGAGAATTTTATTTCATTGTCCATGTTTTTCATAGGCCCAAAATCAACTCGCAAGCTGCAGAATCACAAATACAACCCAGTTTTGGGGTGCAGCAGTTGCGTACAAGGCCTTTCAGGACTAGTGTCCTGAGTTTCATTTCCACCTATGACATTATCTGCATGACGCGTGTATAATTTCCCTGTGTGTCCATCCTCTACAACCATACAGGTTCATTGGCTTTTGATCAAATCATGGAGAAACTAGACCAGGGGTGGACAAATATTATAGAATTCAGTAGCCAGTCTGTCCAATCCAGCAGAGAGCAGCCTATTTATGAAGGAGCCAGCTCCATTGATAACAACTAGAGAGAACCTCAAAAGTTAGGAGCCAGGTGCTTTTCTAAGGAGCTCTGGCAATAGACTGAGCTAATTTAGCAGCAGACACTTGAGGTGCTTTGGAATACCAGGGGAAACACTGTATAACCAAATATATAAACAGTTTGTGGTAGGGTCTATGGTACCTGGATTAAGCGGTTTTACTTACCTGCTCCCCCGCTTTCCTGGCAATAGTCTTGCCAGGAAAGCGCTTGTGGACTCTCCATTGGCGTCCCCATGTATAATGTAGAGCTACGGGGCGTGCATTGTACTGGAGGACGTCAGCGGACCTACGACCACCGAAGAAGAGGGGTTGAGATCGCCGACTGCCATGGAAGCAGGGAATCAGGTAAAACTCATATCAAACCAAAAAACAATGTCAGGCTTGTGGCCTGCAAGAGCAGGGATTAGGTAAGAAAGTCCTTTTCCCCAGGTACCCCAACCCTAAACTAGCACTTCACAGGGGTAAATGCAGGGGGTGCAAGGGAGGTTTTCCAAAATTCAGCAAAGTGAACCGCTCTTTTACATTATAGCCACGATTAACCAAACCAAACTACAGGCAAGCGAAAATGTGGAATTAAGGAGCCAGCAGGAGGTAATAATAATAATAAATTATTATAATAATAATCAGCTCCATAAACAAAAAAAACCCAAACACATGAAATGTTGGGCACCAGCTGCCATTTTTGAAGGAGCAATGGCTACCTATCTCCTAGGATTTGTCCAGTCCGGTATGCACATGCCATATAGATGCCACTATATACACATATGCCATATAAATACACTACCACATCTAAATATGCAACCAGGTGCCCCTCCTTTCATACCAGATCTCGCAATGCAATCGATTTCCAGTTACGTTTATTGACAGCTATGCCGTCAGTTAACCCCCCCCCCCCCCGGGGCACCTCCCCCCGCTGACTTCGGGCGCTCCC